AGAGTGCATTGCAGATGTCATGGCACTTTACCCCAGCAATCTGTGAGCAGTTCAGTCTCCCCATGTCCTTACCAACACTTGCTATTGCTTGTTTTTCTTTATTGTAGTCATTCTAATGGGTGTGAAATGATATCTCATTTTTTTTTTAATGTTTATTTTTGAGAGAGAGAGAGAGCACACAGGTTGGGGAGGGGCAGAGAGAGGGAGACATAGAATCTGAAGGAGGCTCTAGGCTCTGAGCTGTCAACATCAAGCCCAACGCGGGGCTTGAACCCATGAACTGCAGGATGGTGACCTGAGCTGAAGTCGGACACTTAACCAACTGAGCCACCCAGGCTCCCCCTCATTTTAGTTTTGATGTGCATTTCCGTGATGACTAATGGTATTGAACATCTTTTCACATTTTTTTTAGGCATTAGTATATTTCTTTGGTGAAATGTCTATTCAGATTCTTTGCTCAGTTTTAAGTGAGAGTATTTATCTTTTTATTATGGAATTTTAAGAATTTTTAATATATTTATCCAGTACATGATTTGTAAATATTTTTCTCTGTTTCTTGTCTTTTCAATTTTGTTTTTTAGTTTTTATTTATTTATTTTGAGAGAGAGAGAACACAGGTGGGAAAGGGTCAGAGAGAGAAAGAGAGAGAGTCCTAAGCAGGCTCTGCACTGACATCCAGGCACTGACGGTGCAGAGCCTGATGTGGGACTTGAACCCATGAACTGCGAGATCATGCCCTGGGCTAAGACCAGGAATCAGATACTTAATTGACTGAACCATCCAGGTATCCCTGGTCTTTTAATTTTCTTAATGGAGTCTTTTGAAGTACAAGGTTTTGATTTTGATCAAGTTCAAGTCATCCTTTTTTTTCTTTTATAGATCATGCTTTTATGGTGTCATATCAAGTAAAGGCAAATATCAATATCACTTTTCAGAGAATTATGGGATTTGCCTTATTAGTTGAGTGATCAGATTAGTGATCAGATCCATTTATCATGTGAGCTTTGTTGAAATGTGTAAAGGACTTGCCTCTGAAGGATGACCACATTGTTCCAGCCTCTTCTGGGCAGCTGTTACTAGTGAGGCAGTATAATATTGATAAAAAGTGCAGGCTTTTGTGGCCTGACTGCTTGGGTTTGAATTTTGGCTTCATCCCTTACTAGCAGTGTTACTTTGGGAAAGTGACTTTATTTCTCTGTTTCAGTTTCCTCATCTGTAAAATGGGGATAATACATCTTTCCTCATAGGGTGTTTGTCTATGTAAAGTGCACAGGAAATGCCTTGAAGGGAGTAAGAGCTAAAAAAATATTAGCTCTTATTGCTAGGGGAGCAATTCTCAGCTGTAGTTTGGGATGGAGTTGTGCATATTGGAATCATTTGAGGGGCTTTTTAACACTTCTCATGCCTTTCTAAAATGACAAGTCTGCCAAAGGTTAGAGCAGCTGTGGTGATAAATATTGCACTTTGCCTTCCTTGACATATTTAAAGTTGATTGTTCCGTAAGATCACTTTCATTAAATGAGGCAATTTGGGTTGATGTGTAGAATCACAAAACTCTTCATCAGATATAAAAATAGCTCAAGCTCCATTAATACTTAGAAAATGAATAATCTATTAACTCCTGTTGCCAAGGCTGAAATTAGGCAGTCTTTGGCAAGCGAAAAACAGAATGTAAGCTATGTGTGTTTGATAAATACATTTCTTTGCCCTTGGGATGGTTTATTAGTCCAAGGATTAGAATATGGGCCCAAAACTTGCAATTCAAAGATAGAATTACTGTTTTGTTCTTGTTGGAGGAGAAGATTTTCAACTCTTTTCCTTGTCTTCATTTGCAGAATGAATATAATGAACTTGAGACCTACTTACCTTCAAAAGGGATTCACGATCCAATATAGGACTAGTATCAGGATATATAAAGAATTCTTACAACTCAACAATAAGAAGACAGAAAATGGGCAAAGAATTTTCATAGAAATTTCTCCAGAGGAGATGTCCAACAAAGACATGAAATGATGTTAAGCATATAGGTGAACAGGGAAATGCAAATCAAAATTATAGTGAGATACCACCTCATACCCACTAGGATGGCTATGATAAAAAATTTTTTAGAGAGCATGTGCACATGTGCCCAAGAGCATGGGAAGGACAGAGGGAGGGAGAGAAAGATAGAGAGAGAGAGAGAGAATGAATCTTAAGCAGGCTCTGAGAGAGAGAGAGAGAGAGAGAGAGAGAGAATGAATCTTAAGCAGGCTCCATGCCCAGCACAGAGCCCAGTTGTGGGGCTTGATCTCACAATTGCAATATCATGACCTGAATGGAAATCAAGAGTCAGATGCTTAACCAACTGAACCACCCCAGAAACCCCTAAAAGGAAAGTATTAAGTACTGGGAAAGGTGGGGAGAAACAGGAACCATTGTACAGTAATGCTAAGAATATAAAATGACTCAGCTGTTATGAAAAACAGTTTGGTGGTTCCTCAAAAAATTAAGCATAGAATTACCATATGACCCAGCAATTCCACTCATAGGTATATACCCAAAAGAATTGAAAACATGGTGGCACAGAAACTTGTACATGAATGTTTATGCCAGCATTATTTATAATAGCCATAAGATGGAAACAACTCAAATGGCCATCAAGGGATGAATGAATAAACCAGTTATATTATATATACAGTTGAATATTATTCAGCCATAAAAAGGAGTGAAGGACCTTTCTGGTCCTCATTGTACCATCCATGGTACAACTTGGATGAGCTTTGAATACTTTAAGTGAAAGAAGCCAGACACAAAAGTCATATATTGTATGATTCCTTTTATATGCTATATCCAGAATAGGCAAATCCAAAGAGATAGAAAGCAAATTAGAGGTACCAGGGGATGAATGATGGAGAATGGGGAGTGATTCTTTAATGATTATAGAATGTTTTTTGGGGTGAAAAAATTTTTGAAAGTAAAGAGAGCTGATGGTTGTACAACATTGTGAATACAGTAAATATCACTAAATTGTACACTGTATTTTTTTTTAAGTTTATTTATTTTGGAAGAGAGAGCTTGAGTCAGGGAGGGGCAGAGAGAGAGGAAGAAAGAGAATCCCAAGCAGGTTCTGCACTGTCAGCCCGAAGCTCAAGGTGGGGCTCTAACTCAGGAACTGTGAGATTGTGACCTGAGCCAAAATCAAGAGTTGGACACTGAACTGACTGAGCCACCAAGTGCTTCTCATGTCATTTTTCTTTAAAAGGAGATATACAAGCATATTTACTGTTTTTGCTACCCAGAGACCAATGTTTTAAAGTGCAAGGAAAGATGAATGACAAAAAGGGATAACTATATTTGATGTGGCAACTCCAGTGTCTGGATATTTCTCCAGATTCATTTTTCACTCATCTCATGCCTAATACTTTACTTGAAAATTCTACAGTGTCTGCTAAGATAGAAACAGTGTTTTTTGTAAAGAGTATATTGTTCTTTAGGGAATCCCACAAAAAGCCTGGTTGCTCTGGGCCTAACAAAGCTGATAAACGAGCAAAAGATATTCTTAGAGCCTACATTTAGATGGCATTCTGTTTTTCCTGGGCATGCTGTTCTATCAGGCTATCAGTTCCTTTAAAAAAATTTTTTTTATTGAGGTGAGTTTCACATAACACACAATTAGCCATTTTAAAGTGAATGATTCAGTGACATTTAGTGCATGTACAGGGTTGTGCATCTACCAGCCCCATATTATTCTGAAACATTTTCATCACCCCAAGAGGAAATTCTGTATCCATTAAGCACCTTGTCAGCATTTGTAATTTCTACTCTTTTTTTTTTTTAAATTTTTAATGTTTTATTTATTTTTGAGAGAGAGAGAGAGACAACATGAGCTGGGGAGGGTCAGAGAAAGAGGGAGACACAGAATCCGAAGACAGGCTCCAGGCTCTGAGCTGTCAGCACAGAGCCCAACGCGGGGCTTGAACCCACGAACTGTGAGATCATGACCTGAGCCAAAGTCAGACAGTCAACCAACTGAGCCACGCAGGCGCCCCTGTAATTTCTACTCTTATGATTATAGCCAGCCTACTGGGTATGAAATGCTATCTTATCATGGTTTTGATTTGCAGTCCCCTAATGACTAATGAAGTTACCGTCTTTATGTGCTTCTTAGCCATTTGTACTTCTTCTTTGGAAAAATGTCTACTTATGTTCATTTTCTGTTTTAAAAATTGGGTTCTTTTTTTTTTTAGTTGAGTTGTACTCTTTATATATTACAGATACACACCCTCATCAGATATATGGTTTGCAAATATTTCTGTCATACTGTAGGTTGTCTTTTTACTTTCTTGACAGTGTTCTTTGATACACAGAAGTGTTTAATTTAGATGAAGCCTCATTTATCTATTTTTTTCTTTTGTTGCCCATACTATTGATGTCATATCTAATAATCCATTGCCAAGTCCAAGGTCATTAAGATTTTCCCCTAAGAAAACTCTTTCTTCTAACAGTTTTATAGTTTTAGCTCTTATATTTAGGTCATTGGTCCATTTTTATGTCATTTTTGGATATGGGATGAGGTATAGGTCCAACTTCATTTGTTTGCATGTGGTTATTGAGTTGTCCCGGCACCATTTGTTGAGAAGGCTCTTCTTTCTCCATTAAAATTGACTTGGCACCTGATTGAAAATCTATTGGTAATAGATGCAAGGGCTTAACTCTGGACTCTAAATTTTATTTCTGCCATTTACTTTTTAAAAAATTTTTTTTAATGTTTATTGATTTTTGAGAGAGAGACAGAGTGTGAGCAGGGGAGGTGCAGAGAGAGGAGACACAGAATCGGAAGCAGGCTCCAGGCTCTGAGCTGTCTCTCAGCACAGAGCCTGATGTGGTGCTTGAACCCATGAGCCACGAGATCATGACCTGAGCCAAAGTCAGATGCTTAACCAGCTGAGCTGCCTGGGCGCCCCTTCTGCCATTTACTTTTATGTGGGCTGAGTTTCTTTTTTTTCTCCCTTTGATAACAGGATCATGGGGTTGATAGCACCATTTTCCAGAATCCCAAAAAGCTTCACCTAACTATTGGAATGTTGGTGCTTTTGAGTGAGCAAGAGATCCAGCAGACGTGTGAGATGCTACAGCAGTGTAAAGAGGAATTCATTGAGTGAGTAATCTACAGGAATGGGGAAGGGTGGTCACCTGGTACTGGCTTCTTTTTGGTCTCACAGACTTCTTTTTGCACCAGGGAGCTGAGTCACATGGCAGCAAAGTTTGTCAACTCACCCAGCTGTAACACTTAACACTGGAACATTGTCTGAAAGGCTTGAAATGGATTTAAAAGCATATATTTACAAAATTTTATGGAAAGACTCTCCCTTAAATTTTACTAGTTCAGTAGGCAAATTTTATTCTTAACAAGACATCCATTATTTTCTCCAAAAGGAATTTCTTTACATTATCTATTGAACAGTAGAAGCTACTGTATTCATTTTTTGTGCTGCTGAACACATTACTACAAGCGTGGTGCTTAGAACACTGAAAATTTATTATCTTCAAGTTCTTTGGGGTAGATGTCTGGTATGGCTTTCACTGGGCTAAAATCAGAGTGTCGGCAGGGTTGTGTTCCTTTCTGGAGGCTCTAGGCAAGAGTTCACTTCTTTGCTTTAAAGCCCGTCTTCTAGAGGTTACACCCACATTCTTTGGCTGGTGACCAGATCCTCCATCTTCATCATCTTCATCATCTTCATCACCAGCAGCATCGCATCTCTCTGACCCTCCTGTTATCGCATCTCTGTCTCTGGCCGTAGTAGGGACAGGTTCACAGCTTTTAGGGACTCATGATTTGAACACCCCCAGATAATTCAGGATAATCACCCCACCTAAAACTCCTTTAACCTTAATCATATCAGCAAAAGTCTGTCTGCCATGTAAGGTAGCATATTTACAAATTCCAGAGAATAAGACATGGGCGTCTCTGGAGGGTCATTATTCTGTTACCACAGTAACTTGAACATTATATAAATAACATGATTCCCTGCGGAGGTGTTCATTGTATTTCAGAAATGGACTTTAATTTTCTTTTTTAAATACAGGTAGTTTTGTTTGAGTCAGTAAGGATACCAAAAACTGTCCAAGCAGTCTGTTTTGGCTCAGGGAAACCATTGCTGTTCGCTGTTATGGGGGTAGAGTTCTTCTTCTTACTATAAAATTTTAATTTACATGTACATCTGACCTAACAGCTTTATTTTAAAGAACCCTCTCTTTCCTACCCCTTACTCCTTTTACTTAAGATTGACAAAGAGTAAGAGAAATTTGAAAAAACTAAATAACTTGAATTTTTAAATCACTTACAATATTCAGGTCCCATACTATTTTTTTTTTTTAACATTTTCTTATTTACTTAGAGAGAGAAATAAGTAAGGAGCAGAGAGAGGGAGAGAGAGAGAGAATCCCAAGCAGACTCCTCACTGTCATTGTGGAGCTCAATGCGGGGCTTAAACTCATAAACCATGAGATCATGACCTGAGCCCAAACAAGAGTCAGATGCTTAACAGACTGAGCTACCTAGGCGCCCCCCCATACTATTTTCATATGGCCTTATAAAAGTGGGTTACCTAGTTCATTGAGTTAGACAAGATAAAAGGATTAAATCTTTTTTTAATATATGCTGTAAATGAAACTATGTAATAGGATGACTTGTTTGTCATCCAGTTCTTCTTTTCCACTGTTTTGAAGGGAAGATAGTTTTCTTGAGCAAAATCATAAGCTGATTGGGTTTGCACTCTGCAAAGAATACTTCTTTGTCTTGATCTTTGCTCACTGATGGACATAACTGTTCTCTCTCCATCTTAACCTAAAATTCAAAATCATTGTGTTTGTAATTAGATATTTGCAGTTTCTTTGCATACGATAAAACTTGTGCTCTGCCTTATGAAGCAGAGCAATTTTATCTGATTTAAGAATTAATTCTGATACTTTAATTCATTTCAAGATCATTTTTTGCTAAATGAAATTGAAAGCAGCTACACTCAGCTGCCATTGGGATAATCCTGCTAAGAAGAAATTTAAAGGTAGATAAAATATTTGTTTAGGGAAGTGTTTGTTTTCTTACCTATGAAAATCAGGCCACAGGTTTTTAATCACTGAAGCTTTATCCTGAGCTATGTGAGGATTTAGCTGAGTTCTTCCCTTTTATGTCTCCTGGTGCCTTTTGTGACTAAATGCCAAATCTGAGCCCTTTAAGCATGTCAGGGTTGGTGTGCATAGGAAATGAAGAACAGCCTTAATAGTTCCTAAGAATTTTTGACATGACAGGATGAAAACAGTAATTGTAGTTTTTCAGATTCAGCAAAGCTTTTGAAATAGGACAGAGTTACACTGCCAAAAATCTGCAGTGCAGGCAAAAATTTTTTTGAAGATGCTTTTTTCAAAACGCTGGAAAGATTTTAAACCAGCTAGTAAAGCAAGCTCCCCTAGCCCTCCTTTTCCACCTTCTCTGCCACACATACTTGTTTAAAAAGCACATAGTGAAAAATTAACTTATTTCTGAGGAGAATGAGAATCAGAATTGGCTGTTTAGATTGGTTAGAAGTGCCTTGTTTCCCTACAAGGGAAAAAAAAGTTTCCTAAAAAAAATACATATAGCCACACACACACTTATAGCCCTGATGAGTAAAATTAGTGTTTAACTTCCTTATTCATAGTCTTTGATCTTAGCCTTTGCACTTGATATACTTAGACTGTCAGTAAATAGTGGCATTTCTTTTTTTTTTTTTGGAATGTTTATTTGTTTTGAGATGGGGGAGGGGCAGAGGGAGAGAGAGAATCCAAAGCAGGTCCCATGCTGTCAGTGCAGAGCTCACGTGGGGCTCGATCTCCTGAACCATGAGATCATGACCTGAGAATAATGGCGTTTCTAACCTGAACCTTTTATGATGTAAAGATCCCAAATTAAAATATAAGAAAGGAAAACACTGAAATTGATAGCCTAATAAATAACATGCTGTGGTTTAATTTGATGGCTTTTTAAATTGAGAGATTAAATCGATATGGCTAGATTGGGATTTAATTAAAACTGTGGTGTTAAATAGATATTTTAAAGAAATGGTTGAACATTTGTTTAAAATTTGGGGGTGTTTTTTGAGTTTAAGGGATGTTACCTGACCAGGAACAGAACTTTGATTTCAATTCTTAAGCTAGGGGCTCATGAAGCTGTATAGATTCCGAATGAATTATTCAGTGTTCAGTAAACGTTGAAGCTTTAAATGTATCCCTTGTGACTTTTTCTTGTGAGATGGCGAACGCAAACAGGGCAGTGGCTCTGAGTATATAGTCTGACAAATACGCAGTACTTTTTTACTTCCAGTATCACTCTTCTTGTGCCTATGTGTTCCCAGTAGGCCTGAGGTAAAACCAAGTAAGAAGTTACAAAGGGACAAGAATGAGGAGAGAGGAGGAGGAAAAATACCCATGGATGAATGCTGATTCCTATTTATTGCCTCAAATGTCAGTTGAAAAGTAGGCTTACTGGTGTCCCAGGTGGAATAGTTCTGTCACTGAGACGAAGAGCATTCATTAGTCAGGCAAACCATTGAATTTCTCTCCCTCTTGGTAAATCCTAGGGAAGGTTGAGTTTCTGTTCTACTCCTAAGACAGGCTTTAGATCCTGTTTCCTTGTTGCATTTTTTGTTGTTGTTGTTCCTGGTACCCCGTCTAATTCCAAAGATTTGAGGTGGTTTGTAGTGAGGATATACATATAAGAGAAATGTTAAAGTCAGGGAGCTCAGAGACCATCAAGATGGAATGGGGAGAATTTTACCCGAAAACCAAGGAATGGTTATAATTACACTTGAGCATTAGAATGTAATAGTTTTCAAGCACTGGTATACTTGAACTAAATTCCAAAAAGAAATACCTCAATTATTACAGTTCTTATCTGATAAAAAAGAGCATAACAGTTTTTTGGGAGAGACCCTTTTTCTAGTTCTCAATCCAAGAAAAGCTTGTCATGTAAATCTTAACCCAAAATGTAGATGAGCAATGTCTTCAATGGGAATTTTGCAGAAAATACGAAAATATTGTTTGCATTGTTCTCTCTTGGATTGATCCCTAGAAGTTGAGGGTATTACTTTAGGCATAACCCAGCAAAAACATTTTAGTAGGAAACTAAACCAATGGTATGGTGCTTTGGGGTGATCTAACTATGCAGGGTGAGAGCAGAAAAAAAGAAAAACATAGAGGAATGTGTGATTATTATTATACTGTTTTTCCATGTAAGTTTGGTTGACTGCACTTTGATAGGATTGAATGGCAGTCTTTCATACTGAGTTTTTGCTATTACTTGGAATGAAGATATACCATGTTGTTGGTTGAAGCTACATGCCTCAGGTAATAGTTCAGAGCAGGCTTGTGTTTTGGAACACCCCACTTATTAGAGGTGGTAACAGGGATACTTATGATGAAGTCAGTAATTTTTATTGAATATCTGTCTAAAATAGATACTTATTAGTTCCTTACTGAAAAAAAATTCTGGTCTTGTGCAATAATATGGTCTTGAAGCTTTAAGGGAATCTTTTTTTTTTTTTTTTTACAAATAGTTTATTGTCAAATTAGTTTCCGCATAACACCCAGTGCTCATCCCCACAAGTGCCCTCCTCCATGCCCATCCCCCCTCCCCCCCACATCCCTCAGTCCTCAGTTTTTGTCAGCATTCAAGAGTCTCTCATGGTTTGCCTCTCTCCCTTTCCCCCACCATTTCCCCCCTTCTTCTCCCCCTTGTTCCGCAGTTAAGTTCCTCCTAATCCTCCTATACATGCAAACATATGATATTTGTCCTTCTCTGCCTGACTTATTTCGCTCAGCATAATACCCTCAAGGTCCATCCATGTTGCTACACATGGCCAGATTTCATTGTTTCTCATTGCCATGTAGTATTCCATGGTATAGATAAACCACATCTTCTTGATCCATTCGTCCGTTGATGGACACTTGGGCTCTTTCCATGTTTTAGCTATTGTTGAGAGCGCTGCTATGAACATTGGGGTGCATGTGCTCCTATGCATCAGCATTTCTGTATCCCTTGGGTAAATTCCTAGCAGTGCTATGGCTGGGTCCTAGGGGAGTTCTATTGTTAGTTTCCTGAGGCACCTCCACACTGTTTTCCAGAGGGGCTATACCAGTTTACATTCCCACCAACAGTGTAGGAGGGTGCCCGTTTCTCCACATCCTCGCCAACATCTAGAGTTCTCTGATTTGCTCATTTTAGCCACTCTGACTGGCGTGAGGTGGTATCTCAGTGTGGTTTTGATTTGTATTTCCCTGATGAAGAGGGATGCTGAGCATCGTTTCCTGTGTCTGTTGGCCATCTGGATGTCCTCTTTGGAGAAGTGTCTGTTCATATCTTCTGCCCATTTCTTCACTAGGTTGTTTGTTTTTCAGGTGTGGAGTTTGGTGAGTTCCTTATAGATTCTGGATATTAACCCTTTATCTGATATGTCATTTGCAACTATCTTTTCTAAGGGAATCTTTACCATGAAGATTCCTAGGCTACAAAGGGTCTCCCTGTGGCATTAGTGCAGTATTAAGAGAACGTTTTTGTTTTGCTTTTTTAGGAATTGTCTTTTGGTGGATCCTAACTTCCTTTTGTCTTTGAGCTAGTACCACATTTTTTTCCAGTGGCAGTGTAGGCATGTGTGCACATTCTTCTCAAAATTGTCCAGAAAAGCTTTTTTCTCTTTAGAGTAGAAGACCCAGTCAGTGCTTCCCAGAGATTTAAGGAGTACCTGTTTTATGTAAGGCATTGTGCCCAGCTGGCGATATAGGAGTGGACAAAATGGATAGACTCCCGGTCTCATGGTGAGCCCGTTTGTAGCTGGGTTTCGCCTTCACAGTGCAAGCCCTATTCCAGTTGAAGGATAAATCTGTTTAAGCAGTCTGGGAAGGAAGCAGAATGGTGAGGTTTTACTTAACATGAAAGTAGAGGTGCCTGGCCGGCTCAGTCACTTAAGCCTTCGACTTCCGCTGAGGTCATGAACTTGCAGTTTGTGAGTTCGAGCCCCGCATCAGGCTCTGTGCTGACAGCTCAGAACCTGGAGCCTTGCTTCAGATTCTGTGTGTGTGTCACTCTCTCTGTTTCTTCCTGCTCGCCCTCTGTCTCTTGCTCTCTCTCAAAAATAAGCAAACATTTTAAAAACAATTTTTAAAAAAACATGAAAGTAATACCTGCACCCGTGAAACGAACGTAACATTGCATCTCAACTATATTTCAATTAAAATAAAGTCATACATACTAGTTTTAGAAAAGTCACAAATTATAGATAAACAAAAATATCACTTTTAATCTTACTGCTTAAAGATAATTACTGTTAATGCTGTGAAGTATATACTCTCAGACTTTTTAATATGCAAGTATGTATTTCTTCTTTGAGGTGTAATTTACTTACAGTAAAATGCACAGATCTTATTAAGTGTAGTTGATGGGTTTTGGCAAATGCGTACACTCATGTAACTTCAGCCAAATCAAGATGTAGTACATTTTCATCACTCTGTGAAGTTCCCTCATGACCTTTTCCAGTAAATTCACTTCTCCCAGCAGCAACGATTGTTCTGATTTCTATTTCCATAGATTAATTTAGCTTATTCTTAAATGTCATATAAATAAAATCATTCAGTCTATACACTTTTGTGTTTAGATTCTTTTGCACATATGTTTTTTAATATTAACTTTAATGGATAATACATTTACATGGCTCAAGATTTTAAAAATTCAAAGGATATGCAGTGAAGAGTTTCCTTTCCACTGCTATTCCAACCAAGCGGCCTGCTTTCCTCTCTAAAGACAATAGATTTTTCCAGAGATTTTTTTGTATGTACAGGGAATATATATATATATATATATATATATATAAATTTTCTTACCCCATCTATTGCACAAATAGTACTATATAGCATGTACATTGTTGTGTACTTTTTCTTAAAACTTTAATATTTAATCTGTTACCAATCTTTGGTTGTTCTAAACAGTGCTTCAGTCAAACCCTGTGCACAGTTATTTTTCATGAGTGTAAGTGTAACCTATTACCTCACATCAGGAGGTAGTATTGTCTGGTTGTTCTTTTGGGTGTGTGTGTGTGTGATAAGCTTGATCAGTGGGTTCAGGTATGGTTAGCTTGATCCATCATTTATAGAGCTCCCCTCTTTATATTTTCTCCAGCTTTTAGGCATTAAGTTTTAGCAGCCATTGCTACTCATTGTCTTCATCCATTATTTCATCAGGGGTTGCAAAACGGTGATACCCTAATTTCATTATTACTTCTGTGTTTATTGGAATTCTTCTTTAAAGAACTTCCCTTTATCAGCTGTGGTTGGATATGTAGCTGAATTCATAATTATTTCTTAGGTTTGGCTCCTAAAAATTCAATTGCTTGGACAAAGGGTTTCTATTGTTGAAGGCTTTTTATAAATATTGCTATTAGGATGTTCTACTGCTTTATGCCTCCACCATTGTTAGATGAGTAAAATACTGTTCACAGCTTATAGAAATAATGAAATAAAGCCCAAGAGATGGGCAACACATTAAACGTCTTCATCAATCAGAACTGTCATTCTTTGGCTTTTTTCTTGTGAGTACTAATAAACTGGTATTGGGATAACTGTAGTGTGACTTTGGAACTGCTTGTGTTTCTAGCTGATGTGCATAGAACACAATTTTGAAATTAAGATGATTAGATAATATTGCTAGCTAAAAAAAACCTCCAACAGTTTCATTTTTGGTAACATTTGACTCTATATAATAACTATGTTTAAAATATAATGGCCCTCTAAAACAATTATAAAGATGTAACTTTTTCCCTTTGCAGTGACATTTGTGGGGGCAAACCCCTTGAGGTAGAGATGACAGGGATAGAATACATGAACGATGATCCTGGCATGGTGGATGTTCTTTATGCCAAAGTCCATATGAAAGATGGCTCCAACAGGTATGTTTCTGGAATGCTTCTTTGTTTCCATCAAGAGGTGCCTGCAAGCAGTGCTAGAAGTTCAACAAGTTTTGATTCCTTTTTTCTGAGATCTTACTATTGAAATGAGTGTGTCACTTTTTTTTTTTTAATTGTAAGCGATTATCTTAAAAGAAGAATTTGTTGTAGGAAAAGTATCAGATTTTAGTCTGATAATTATTGAGTTACTTGGATGATGGATATTGATTGTAGCGATCTAGTTTTCATGATGTACGCTTTCTTCATGTTGTTCAGGCTAGGCTATAGGAGGCAGGAAGGATGGCATTTTAGGATGGTAGTTGCAAAAGTGACATAATGCAGATCTAGTGAGTACCAGGACAAAATGGGATGATAACTATACAGACTTTGTAAGATTACTAGGATTAAACTAATCTACATGAAATGCTTTGAACAGTGCTTAGCACATACAAACCTCACTAAAACACATACCAACAAATGTTTACTGTTTTTTATTTTTGTTATTACCACACTTAGATCGCTTCTGGGGATTTTCAGTCTACAACCCAGACTATTTCTGAGGCTAGCCTAGGCATCCAGAGCCATTTCTAATGTTAATGCCGTTTATTAGTCTATTGAAGGTTTTCTGTGAGCAGAGGAGCTAAACTTGAACTGGAGGTTTGTTTTTGTTGTCTTTTGATTAAGTCGGGATAGAACAGAGCTTACACTGAACCAGAAACCCTCTAGAGAAAATTAAAGTCTGTAGGCAGGTCCCCAAATTGATTCGCTTTTGTAGAGGATCTCTTGTAAGATTTCTCAGGGCGCCTGGGTGGCTTAGTCGGTTAAGCGTCTGACTTTCGCTTGGGTCATGATCTCGCGGTTCGTGGGTTCGAGCCCCACGTCGGGCTCTGTGCTGACTGCCAGCTCAGAGCCTGGAGCCTGTTTCAGAGTCTGTGACTCCCTTTCTCTCTGACCCTCCGCTGCTCATGCTGTCTCTCTCTCTCCTAGAAATAAATAAAAAAAAAAGAAAAAAGATATCTTATCTATCTCAATTCAAATTGATAATCTCAGTTATCTTCTATCTCAATTCAATTGGAAGTGAATTTGGGGAAGGAGGGTAAAGAAGGAAAAGACGGTATAGAATCAGATGTTGTGTGTGTTTTGGACCAGATTTGTCTTGGATACCTGCCATGTGCCTAAATAGCGTACTGATGACCTTGCCTTAAAAAGTAGGGATGCATTGTTCTTTTAGGACACTTCAGACCATTATGAGATTGGAATTTGGTATCTGGTATGGGTCATTTACTTTCCATTGTAAGTTATAACAGTCTGATGTCCTCATCATTTATAGGGCTGCTGTGTATGAGGAAGATTACTTTTCAGTTTTGTGAACAAAAACTGAATGATAAGATAGTAGTTCTCAAACTTTTTGTTCTCATAATCACTTTAATTTCTTAAAAATTATTGATGACACCAAAGAGCTTTTCTTTATATGGATTATAGTTCTCAATATTTACCTTATTAGAAATTAAAATTAGAAATTTAATACTTGATAGTTCATTAAAAATAGTAGTATTTTTAGTAATTACTAAAAATTGTAATTGTTATTAATAACATAAATAATATTTGTGTATTTTTGTTTACATAAATATATTTTTCATGAAAAATCTATTTCCCAAACCAAAGGTATTTAGTGAGAAGATAGGCATTGTTTTACATTTTTGTCAGTTTCCTTAATGGAAGACAGCTGGGTCTGAATAGAGAAGCAGATATCTGCTTGCAATATGTTGTTTGGATTGACGTATACGAGAAAATCTGGACTCACACAGAAACGTATTGGGAAAAATGAAGAGTACTTTCATGGTGTTCTCAGACAATTCTGGATATATGATGCTACACTAAAACTTGACAAGCTAATAGTTTCGTAGAGGTCAGAAACCCTGTCAGCAAACATTTCATACTCTTGCACTAAAAATCCATTGATCTCTTTTACATTTTGACTGGACCTTTAACCTATGCACAATTTGGTATTGGTCATTTAGAAAATACTGGTCCACTGAGTTACGCACATCTTCCAAATGTGGACACATTTCATTATGCAGTATTAAACACGTATTGATTGCACTATTAGTTTCACCACAGTCTTTAAGTATTAGGAAGCAGAGACACATTTTCTAAAAATCTTATTTTCACTTGAAAGCTTAAATTTTATTATTGACCCAAAATACTGTTTTCCTTGAAGTTCTTTTTTGAGAAAATGTCTGTCAGATAGCCAAGTCTGAATAACCATAATTTGTCTGTCAGTCGTTCTTTCTAGTAAAAATGGTGTTCGTGGACAAAGAGGCTAGTCCAGCTCCAGCTCTGATAACCTCACAAGTGTTTTTCCTCTGGACAGCTGTCTGCGTCCACATACAGCCCACCCGCTCCATCCAGACTGCTGAGTGCATCCCACAGGCGTATTAAAAAGACATGTGCTCAAGGCCTGAGATTTAATCAAATTCATTATTTTTACAGTTTCATCAAGGATAAGTGAAACTAGTTTTCTCCAAAACTGTCAATGTATAGTGAAGAATATACTATTGCTTGTACAATATGCTTCTGCTGCCTGAGTTCATACTAAGGTGCCAGCAGTTCTGTTGTTGTTGTTTTGTTTAAGAAAATTTTTTTTAATATTTTTTTTTTTGAGAGAGAGAGAGAGAGACAACGTGAGCCGGGTAGGGCAGAGAGAGAGGGAGACACAGAATCCAAAGCAGGCTCCCAGCTGTCAGTCAGAGCCCGATGTGGGGCTCGAACTCACAAACTGAGAGGTCATGACCTGAGCTGAAGTTGGATACCTAACCACCTAACCGACTGAGCCACCCAGGCGCCGCAAGGTGCCAGTAATTTTACTCAGCATTCCTTTTTTACCATCTGTTCAAATGTCATCTCCGTGAAAAAGCCAGACGGTGTCATAGAATTCTTGTAAACATAGTTGTGATGTCATGGACTCCTCTAAGAGAGTCTCAGGAATCTCCAAAGGTCCACAGACCATACTTCAGCAGCCTTTGATCTAACACTGAAGATTGCCTAGTTTCCGGGGAAATTATAACTAACGTTTTTTTAGCAATCACTCTTACCTGGCATTGTGCTTACATCGTATTATCTCCATTTTATCTTTGCAGCATCTGTATAAACTGGGTAGTATTCGACTGCCTGTTTTATAGATAGGCAGGTTCAGTGAGTTTAAGTAGTTTGACTAAGGAACACATATCGGGCAAAACCGTGCTCTGAATCCCTATGCCGGAATAAAGAAGGTTTTCAGTGTGTGCATGCTAGGTTGAGTAGGATAGACTATGTTCCAATTCTTGCTTCCACTTTTTTTTTTGAAAGCTGCAAAATTTACATAACATAAAATTCACATGTAAAAGTGTGATCCCCCTTTTTTTTGAAAGTGATAAAATTCATATAACATAAAAACACCATTTTAAAGTATATAATTCATTAGGATTAAGGACATTAGCAACATTGTGCAACCACCCCCACCAGTGTTTCACACATTTTTATCACCCCCAAAATGGAATTCTGTACCCATGAAGCAGTCACTCTTCCATACCCCTCTCCACTCTTCTCTCTCCTCTGTTCTCTCCCCAGCTCCTGGCAACCACTAATCTAGTGTCACTGTGGATTTGCCTATTCTGGGTATTTCCTATAAATGGAACCACACAATATGTTTCCCTTTGTGCCTGACTTCTTTCACTCAGCATAATGTTTTCCAGGGCTCATCCCTATTGTAACGTGTATCAGACTTCACTCCTTTTTGTGGCTGAATAACATTCCTTTGTATGAGATACCACATTTCACGTTGATCCATTCATCAGTTAATGGACATTTGGGTTATTTCTACCTTTTGGCTATTGTAAATGGAGTGGTCTTCAGTTCTTTTGGGCTGACTCTTAAAATGTACTACATTTTTTATTTCCTTGATTAGCCTTATAGTTTTATAGGGCATCATAGCCACTTAACCTGACCTCTGTTAATTTGTTTTCTTATTATCTGTTATGGGGTTTATTTAATTTTTGTTCATACTGGTTTAAACCTTACTGTTGTAAAACTGAAACCTGTGATAATTTATAGACATACAGTTAACATGAAGCTCTGTGGAAAATTTACATGGGATTACAGCAATAAAATAATGAATTTTTCCTAATCTATGGCTTCAAGTCTGCATATGTCATAGACTCCACAGTTTTTATTTACTCTATTCTTGGGGGCCCCCAGAGGGAAAAAGAGAGGTTACTGCGAAGAGATAATAAAATCATTTCTTTGAGTTTTTCCATTGGATAGCTTTACCTTTTTCTTTAATAGTTAGATTCTTGGTTCGATAGAAGGTCTTTAAGTGTAAAGAATAATATGTTTTTGAGACTGGAAGAAAATAAGAGCCATGGAAGTTAGGTGGCTTTTGAAGACAAGGCTCAGCAATGATTGATGCCCACAGTAATGGAACAGTGAGTGCTCCAAAGGCGAATACACCCATTCATTATTTCCCCAAAGATCCGGGCCTTAATATTTTGCACACTTATTGTTGTCAAGACTTTATAAATTGAAAGATCTTATGAAATATCCACTGAATCCATTAGTGTGATCAACCAAGAACATTTTTGAATAATTCCCATCCCTCTTATTGCTCCTTTTTTTTTTCTTTTGCCCATTCCTCTTTCACAGAGAGAGACATGTTTATGTTATTTCAAAAAGATTTGTAAATTCTCTCTTCAGATTTGTGGGAATTACTAAGAGACTTAACAACCTCTTATTTAATTCAATTTTAAAGCTATTCAAATGCCTCCTTTGTGCAGGGTATTTTGGAAGGCTGTGCAAATTGATACGAATTGAGTAAGACATGGTCTGTTTTAAAGGAACATTAAATCTTTTTGTTTATATGAAGAGATACCGCTCAAGACAAGAGGCATGGGAGAGAGACCATGTTGTAAAGAAAGTACATTCAAGTTTCTTTGTATGATTTCATATAGTTTAAAACAGAGATTCCT